GTGAAATATCTGCCTACTGAAAAAGAAGAGACAGTAACTTTTACTACTTACATACCGATATCATCAGTACACCAAAGTCTGATCTGATAATGGCTACATACTAAAGCCAATTTTGAAAGCCGGTTAATCTAATTGCTTGAAAAGTTTGTAATTCAAATCTCTCGCTATCACACGCTTGAAAATAAAACCATTACAAGAGAAAGTTGTTTACTTAACTGTACTTGAAATCAAGTATGTTCTAGCTGGCCGCATAATTTTTTTTATTAATTGGACTCCACAAAACTTAGAACCAGTCACATTGGGTTCTTCTAACAAAACAGCCTCCAAACGAACAAGCTCGTTCGCCAAACTTAGCACAAACATGAGCAGAACTACATGGAAAGTTTCTTTACTGATAGAACTTTACAGAACAGGCAACGCTCCGTGTAAAGCAAGCTTAATAAAAACACAACTTGGGAAAACACAGTGTCGGAGAGTTCCCTGTGAAGCAAAATGGATGAGAACACAGCTTGCTACATGAAGAGCAAGCAAAGGAGGCCCAAGTAGTTTCATCCCCTCCCTAGACGTGACAGACCTGCCAGGGTGTTTTAACCTGTTATGCTTTGGGCTGTGCTTTGACTGGACGTCTATGAAACCACCAAGCCATCCTGGTACGTCCTACTTCCTTCTTTTGGCCTCCTAATCGCGCATACACACCCAGCTCCTGCGTAGTTATTAAGAGGTGCTAATGATTACGATGGTTTCTTCAAGCTAGCCTTCATCTGGGATTCCCGATGCCGCCGCGCACGGCCGTGCCAGGGAGAAGTGCAGTTTCAGATTACTCAAGAATATTTCCAGTTTAGTGATTAAACAAGATTTCCTGGGTTTTACTCCAGACGATGACTCAAATTCAGAAAAGTCACAACTATGAAATGTGTGCATACCTCACAAATGTGTCATCAGGCCTAATTAGTTTTTGGAAGAGCTTTGAGATCCCTAGTTTACAGACAGCTGGTAATGTCAAACACACCTTCAAAGACGTTTTTCAAAACCCGAGCTAGTTGTTACTAGCTGTTTAATAAGCACAGCCCAAGATGTAGCTAAGAATTAGACTGAGCCAAGAAAAGGCAGCTAGTTTGGAATCAAAATGAAACCAGAATTACTCTAAGAATTTATCCTCATTCATCCTCAGAGCTCCCGTTTCAAGGTTTCAGTAAAGGGATAGAATGATCTAGGAAAAAAAAAATAAATCAGCAAATGCTTTCAAGGTATTTGCCAAGAACATAAAATTCTAAAACTGTTGCAAAAGTATAATCATACAGTATCATTTAAATACACTTTAGACAAGTGCTTCCAGATACATGCCAGATACAAGTTTGACAGAGATGAGAAATAGCTGAGCTAGACGAGGTGTAGAATAAAATACGCATGCTTCCCAAAGTCTGAAAAACACAATGTTTGGAGCAGCAGCATTTTTGTAAGAGGCACATTCTCAAACTCTGAATGCAAGCGGTGAAAAAGCTGTATTTGTCCCCACATTTGACAAATTGCAAACTAAGTCACAAAACATAGGGTTGAACAGGTTGCCCAACTAATGACAACGACAGAGCCGGCCCTTTACAGAGTTCTGTCATTACTAAGGAGGAGAAGCATTTGAATCGCCTTCAACTTCTGCCTTGACATTATTATCCCATCACAGTACTGAACTGTGCTAACCCCTTATTTTTCCTTTTTGAGAGTAAACTGTAGCATAGGTTTTTATCGGAAGAAAACAAAGTATGTTAAAACAAGCACTCAAATCACCTCATCCTAAACAATGGCTGAATACATGAAAAAGTCTCTGAAGAGAGAGCATGCCGAAAACAGGTGAAATATCTGCCTACTGAAAAAGAAGAGACAGTAACTTTTACTACTTACATACCGATATCATCAGTACACCAAAGTCTGATCTGATAATGGCTACATACTAAAGCCAATTTTGAAAGCCGGTTAATCTAATTGCTTGAAAAGTTTGTAATTCAAATCTCTCGCTATCACACGCTTGAAAATAAAACCATTACAAGAGAAAGTTGTTTACTTAACTGTACTTGAAATCAAGTATGTTCTAGCTGGCCGCATAATTTTTTTTATTAATTGGACTCCACAAAACTTAGAACCAGTCACATTGGGTTCTTCTAACAAAACAGCCTCCAAACGAACAAGCTCGTTCGCCAAACTTAGCACAAACATGAGCAGAACTACATGGAAAGTTTCTTTACTGATAGAACTTTACAGAACAGGCAACGCTCCGTGTAAAGCAAGCTTAATAAAAACACAACTTGGGAAAACACAGTGTCGGAGAGTTCCCTGTGAAGCAAAATGGATGAGAACACAGCTTGCTACATGAAGAGCAAGCAAAGGAGGCCCAAGTAGTTTCATCCCCTCCCTAGACGTGACAGACCTGCCAGGGTGTTTTAACCTGTTATGCTTTGGGCTGTGCTTTGACTGGACGTCTATGAAACCACCAAGCCATCCTGGTACGTCCTACTTCCTTCTTTTGGCCTCCTAATCGCGCATACACACCCAGCTCCTGCGTAGTTATTAAGAGGTGCTAATGATTACGATGGTTTCTTCAAGCTAGCCTTCATCTGGGATTCCCGATGCCGCCGCGCACGGCCGTGCCAGCCTGTGGA